TGGCTCGGTGGGTAGATGGTTGGACTGGCTCGGTGGGTAGGTGCTTGGAGTGGCTCGGTGGGTAGGTGCTTGGATTGGCTCGGTGGGTAGGTGCTTGATGTGGCTTGGTGGGTAGGTGCTTGATGTGGCTTGGTGGGTATGTGCTTGGAGTGGATTGGTGGGTAGGTGCTTGGAGTGTCTTGTTCGGTAGGTGCTTGGAGTGGGTTGGTCAACAGGCGCTTGGAGTGGCTTAAGGTGCTTGCAGTGGATCGTTCGGTAGGTGCTTGGAGTGGCTTGGTCGATAGGTGCTTGGAGTGGCTCAGTCGGTATCAGTGCTTGGAGTGGTTCTAATAGTATAAGTGCTTGGAGTGGCTTGGTCAATATAGGTGTTTGGAGTGGCTCGGTCGGTAGGTATATGGAGTGGCTCAAGCGGTAGGTGCTTGGAGTGGCTGGGTTGGTAGGTGCTTGGAGTGATTCGGTGGGTAGATGCTTGGAGTGGCTCAGTCAGTAGGTGTTGGAGTGCCTCGGTTGGTATAGGTGCTTGGAGTGCCTCAGTTGGTATAGGTGCTTGGTGTGGCTCAGTCGGTAGTTGTTTGGAGTAGCTTAGTCCGGAGGTGCTTTTAGTGGCTCAGTTGGTAGGTGCTTGGAGTGGCTCAGTCGGTAGGTGCTTGGAGTGGCGCGGTCGGTATAGGTGCTTGGAGTGCCTCGATCAGTATATGTGCTTGGAGTGCCTCGGTCCGTATAGGTGCTCGAAGTGCCTCCGTCAGTATAGGTGCTTGGAGTGGCCCTGTCGGTATAGATGCTTGGAGTGGCTTGGTCGGTAGGAACTTGGAGTGGCTCGCTGGGGAGGTGCTTGGACCGGCTCGGTGGGTAGGCGCTTGGAGCGGCTCGATCGGAAGGTGCTTCGAATGGCTCGGTCGGTACATGTGCTTGGAGTGCCTTGGTCGGTATAGCTGCTTAGAGTAGCTTGTTCGGTAGGTGCTTGGAGATGCTCAGTCGGTAGGCCACTCCAAGCACCTACCAACCGAGCCACTCCAAGCACCTCCGGACCAAGCTACTCCAAGCAACTACCGACTGAGCCACAGCAAGAACCTATACGAATTGAGGCACTCCAAGCACTGATACCGACCGAGGCACTCCAAGCACCTACTGACCGAAACACTCCAAGCACCTACACACCGAATCACTCCAACCACCTACCAATCCAGGCACTACAAGCACCTACCGACCGAGCCACTTCAAACACCTACCAACCGATAACGAAGAGCTGCCACCCCCTCTCTCGCACTATGGACCGCACAACCCTCTCGTACCGCTCCTCCTTCCCGCTCACCCTTTGGAAAACGAACGACGGGAATATGGCCCTGATGCACCGTGTGGCGCGAGGGTACTCCTCGTCCCGTGCGCAGGTCACCCTTACCTCAACTGGTGGGCAGTGTCTAAGGGGCTACGCCTGAAAAATCTGTCTCAAAACCGGACCCGCTCGTGCCTCCCAATGATCCGCACGGTACCAACCTAGGACGAAGTGAGTGACGTAATTGACCCAGGCCTCCTTACTCAAATAGACAGTTCCCTCCGCACGGACCACGTCCGTCTGGGTCTCTTCCTGTTCTAGGGCCTATTCCGGGACCACCTGTCCCCTTCCCAAGATCCTACCGCGAAACGAGCCCAAAGGAAAGCCCCTCGTTCTAGCTCCAACCCCCTATCGCGACCGGCCAGATACCTCTCGGTGCTATGGTCCAAGGGGACGCTAAAGCACTCCCTGTCCTTGCTCAAATCTGCCCTCTCTATTCGAACCCCCTCTTCTTCAGTGCCTTCTATGATCCTAACCATCCCCTTGGACTATCTCCTCTATGATTTGAACCAGTGCCCTCCACCCATCCGAACCGTCTAGGAAGGCTTCCAGAATAGTGGGAACTGGCCTATCCCCACGTGATCAAATGGACTTGTGAAGGAGCGCCGCCTCACCCGGCTACCCTCCTGTCCTCCCCCCTTGAGAGGTCCTCCAACTTCCAAGAACAAGGGCTAGCCGCGAACACAGGCTATCCCCAATAAGAGGTGGCAACCCTCTTAAAGGAGTTGGACCGAAGTCACACGCCTGTGCCCTATGTCCCCCAACTTGACCGACCGACTCTAAGATTATCCTATTTGGCACCGTGCCTATTACTCGGTTCACGGATGGCACCTCAGGCGCGGAACCTCCCGGGTCCCACTCTTCCGCCGGACAGACTGCTATTCAGACCTAGCCCACCCCCTATTCAATAATCACCTAGCCTTACTAGTCCCTCCCCGACTCTCCTCCTAGATCCGGGCCTCTTCGCCCCTCTACGTCCACCCAGCTGCGGTTGAGACTAAGAGAGGTTGCGCACACACAGCAAAAGAGACAGCCTGGGTTCAAGGGTCGAGTTAGGGGGCATGGGAGTTGTGTCCCCCCCCCTCCCTTGCACACCCAGCAAAGACAATTTGGGCACACACGGTCAGCCCGCACCCCAATCACCACAGGTCATGCAAACAACTCTCAGCCCATGCAAAAACAATGCACACATAGCCCATACCCCCTTTGAAACCCACACTCTACCCCCCCCCCCAATACTTGTCACCCCCTCTCTCCCCTTCGAACACCGTGACTTCCTCTTCTCACAGTGAAGCCCTCCCCAATTCCCCATAAGGGTACTGACCTCACCGTCATCACTACATGTCCCTGTCGTTGTTTGCCACTGTTACTACTGTCTGTTGTTGCAGTTCCACCAATATCCACCGTTACGGCGGTCCCCTATGTCATTGCGACCTCAACCTGCTGCTTCTGTTGATCCCACCACCCGCTTGTCACTGCTATACCTTGCCGTCGTCGTCTGTGTCGTCGTTGCTGCAGCCACTGTCGTTGCTGTCCGAGCCGTCATTGCTGCTGCCGTCACAGTTGTCCCCCACTGTCACTCACGATCACTACCAATGCTGCATGTCACAGCCCCACGTTCCTGTCGCTATTACCGCTCATTTTCTGTCACGCGTCCGCCTCTCCTTCTCTTCCTTTCGGTTCAAGGCCAGCTGAGGCTGTGGAAGAATGCCCTCCCCGGCAACGGTGCCACTTTGTTGGCCAGGGGGGCTTCTTCCGTCGACTCACGACGACGCTTCACTTCCCCCCCTCGTGGAGGAGGCACCCTTCCGCCGGACCATCCCACTTTCCCCAGCCTGGCCGGGCGACCGAACGGATCGGACCAGCGACTCTTTTTAAGCGTGACTCAGAAAATTGCTTTTCGGGTGCGCGGTGGACGCTGCCTACCGATTTGCAGTGAGGTCTTTTCTGGATGGTCCCACAGGCTGCTTTCCAGGGACGGCTTCCCTGCGCGTCATAACCGCAAACAAACCAAAGACGCGCAGCTGACTGCAATGCTGCTCAAAGCCCGAGAAAGGAAAAACAATAAACGCAGCAATTCGCGGCCAATCCAACAGTCCAGGAGTATCCCAGAGGAAGCAAGTGACAAGCACCCTATGTGAAAACACGAAAAATTAGGGGCAACTTGCAGCGGCTATTCTCCTGGTTCAACAGCCTTAGCTGCTGGCACACACAACGAACAGGGATAGTTTCTCTCTCTCTCTCTCTCTCTCTCTCTCTCTCTCTCTCTCTCTCTCTCTCTCTCTCTCTCTCTCTCTCTCGCACACGCACACACACACACACACACACACGCACACACAGGAAAAAGGGGGTGCTACAAGACCAGAACACCACCAATCGCCTCACGGTATATTTTCCCCACTGGTGCAGCCATCTTCCAGGAATTCTCAATCCCAGACGTGACTAGACCCGCGCTACTGCTCTGAGATCTGAGACCTGAGCAACTGCAGTCAGTCCAAGTACTTCCATGCAACCAGAGCCATCTTCTCCGAAGGGAGACATATCCCACACACCGTGAGCAGGTGTTCTGCTTGTCAACCACCTGGCCCACCCAGCCGCAATTCCAGGCAACTTCCCATAGTGGAGATAATCTTTATCACGATGCACAATGCTCCCTGCAGTCCTCGTCACATTCTTTTCAGTGATCCAACTCGTAAGGAGAAGACTTCGTCCTGGTGGTCCCCTTCCTGAGTCCATCACACTGCAAACTCTGAGGTTGCCAGAATACCTTTGACCCACCCCTCCGTTGAAACAACGTACTACCCATCGTGGATCTCAGCCCCCAAACGATGCTCCCAAAACATGACATTAGCCCCAAACGGAGCTTCATGCGGCACCTCGATCAGGACGACCTTTCGCATCTGAGCACTTTCCGAGAAGATAAAAGACGAAGTCATTGTCCCACAACAGATGATGCAAATCCTCTGCCCTCTTTGCCCACCCCCCCTCCCCGAACTCCAAATGAGACTAGCAAGTCAGCTTGACTGTGCCATCATCTGAATTTGCTCCCGTTTGCCTGCCGACTTCTCAGTCTTCACCCGCAATGCGTCTTTTATGATTCCGAGATCAATCTCATCTGATCTCGCCCACGCGGAAAGGTCCAAAGCAGCAGAATATACCAGAGGAATCTCGCAGCAGAAAAATTGCCTTCAAATGCTTCTTGTCGTACACAGAACAGGGAACCGATCCCCGTCTTTTGTGTCTTCAGTCATACTCATCAGTAGGTCAGTGGTGTTCGCCCCTACATGACGGCAGCAAGCGTCCTGGCAAACGAGCCTAAGAGATGCAGCTACCCTGCCCAGTTCTAAAATCCCTATAAGTAGGATTTTGCGCATCGACAACGGGCCACAACTACGGCAACGGCCCTGGGAAACCAGGAGAATTCCCACAAACCCTCTGATGTTCCGCTGCAACCATTTGCTTTTGAATCCGTTCTTCGCTGTAAAGCCTGCACTCCTCGCGACCTCTAGCGAGCCTTCAGAGCCTTATGCAAGGAAGATGAGCATTAGCGTAACTCCAGCAATCAAATAGCATCATACATATGTGTCCAGATAGTCTTGACCTCGAACCAACAGCAGTCATGCATCACGAGATTCACCAAATCAGAACACACCAATAGTTCGTAATTGACAATGCTGAAATAGTCTCTCATCATCATCAACGAAGAACAAGAGTTGATATCCTATTGGCGCTCGGCGCCCAGACTACTTGTGGCAGATCCTATCTAGCCTAATASTACAATGCCGATGTTGACAACAACAGCTYCYTGAAGTACGAGCATACAGYGGACAATGCTGCACGYTTCCAGCACCAGGTATGTCTCTCGTAACACTCACAACCTCGATCCACACCGCACAGATGCCACTTGCACCCAAGGACCACCCTGCGTCACATCCAGCCTACAGCGGAGCAGCTCGGCTATGGCTGCCCGCTACCTCCCTGCTCRCCCGTGAGAGGGTGAGTGCCAGCCAGCCAGCAATGAGCGCAGCAGCGCTTGCGCAGCATGCAGCCAGCACCCGAATGTCCAATGAGGAGGCAGGCCCTTCCCTATATCGAAGTCGCCTGCCTGCGTCCAGTCCAGGAAGCTTCCGGTAGGCATCGGGTAGGCACAGACCCAGTCACGAAGAGAGCAGGCCTTGGGCCTGAAGTGGTTGCATGCACCCAACTGCTTTCGGACTGTGTTTGGCCCGGTACCCGTATCCAGCCCAGGGCCTGTTTCACATTCATTTACACAGGCGGCCCAGGGCCTGGATTCATTCAACCAACTGGCGCAACGCAACTGCCTGAATTTCCCCGATGCGGGGTACCCTCTGAATGTGGCCCGAAGGGCCTGTCGTGCCTGCCTTCACTTAGGGCGGCCGACCTTGTTGCAGATAGGGCCCCGTAGGGGCTAAGCGGGCGTAGCCTCACATTCCCTCCTCCATATCTTCGTTAGTCCTCTGCGAAGATCAATCTGCAGCCATCTGGCGCTTTCCTTTCAGTACATCCTTCTCATAGCGGCAACCATTTGAGGAGCGGTCTGCATCAGTTCCTCCCGAGTAAACCAGCGGTCCTCCTTTGGATCTGTATGGTCTGAAGTGGACTCGGAACTGCAGCTTTGGCTTTGGAGGACGTCCCCTTCCTGGAGGCTTCTGAACAGGCATCTACCTGTGGTCAACGATATCATCGATGTCGACTTCTTCGTCCATGGTTGGGGGCAGCATGGATCGACTCTGATCAGTTTCCTTGAATGCAACGAGCTTAGAAGCGTGAAAGACTCGGTAAGTTCTGAGATGACCAGGGATACGGATGACATATGATGGACCATCAGGATCTGTTCCTACTATGTCTAAAACTTCCCAAGGTCCAAAGTACTGAGGCATGAGTTTGCGGGATATCCCGAACTCCTGTCCCAGTTCTGAAGATTTGACCCAGACTCTGTCCCCAACCTGAAATGTAGAAGGGCGGCGGTGTTTATTCTCAGATTCTATCATTGCTGCCTGCGCCTTCTGTATGTGCTCTACAGCCTCCTGCATCTTCTGTTCATAACGATACGCGAACTCCAAAGTGCCCTCGTAACAGGTGGCTGGTTATCAGGAAGTAGGAAGTCTAAAGGCAGTCTAGGCCTAAAGGTAAGATGTAGACTGTTAGGACTTACCCCGGTAGCGCTGTGTACAGCGTTATTGTACAGACTGGCGACAAGAGCAAGCTTCTCGTCCCAGTCCACCTGGTTGGGCTTAATGTAATGCCTCAACAGGTGTTGGACAGCGCGGTTCATCTGTTCAGCCTGGCCGTTTGCTTCTAGATGGTTTCCAGAAGTCATTTGCAGTTGAGTTCCTTGTTCAGCTGCAGCGGCCTTCCATAATTCACTTGTAAATCTGACATCCCTGTCACTTACAATAGACTTAGGCAATCCAAAATCCCTCACCCAGTTCTCTTTGAACAGCCTGATTACATACTCGGTCTTCGCTGTTTCCAGCATGGCTATTAACCTAGCATACTTGCTAAACCTATCCACGATGACGAAGATCTGCCTCATCCCACTCTTGCTGGTGACCAGCGTATCCATGAAGTCCATGGACAAGCTTTCACCCGGCCTTTCCAGAATCGGAAGGGGCTTGAGCAGCCCAAGAGGAGCCTGAGTACGGGGCTTGTCTCGTTGACAAACTTGACAAGTCTCCACATACAGCTGTGCATCTTGCATCATCGTGGGCCACCAGAATCGCTGCAGCAAGTTGGCTGCAGTCTTCTTGTACCCGAAATGACCGATGGCATCATGACACTCACCTAGAAACAAACTACGCAAAGACTCACTATTGGGAACACACAATCGTTTATTCCCTGCCTTCTCAAGGAACAACAAGCCATTAACCAACTCAAACTCGGCGGACGTCTTCTTGTCCTTCGCCTCAAGTCTGCGTATGATCTCAGATATAAACTGGTCCTCGCGATAGGCTTCCACCAAGGATTGAGTAACATTGTCTGTGAGACTAAACTCAGTTATCAGCGCACCTGAGAAGTCTGGTCTGCGCGACAGGGCGTCAGCAACCTTGTTATACTCCCCTTTCAGATACTGAGGGTCAAAGTCATATTGCTCAATGACTTCGATCCAACGCTTGAGAGCGTCAGAGAGTACCGGCTGGGTTCTCATCCATTTCAGGGTCTGATGATCAGTTCTGAGGATGAAGAACCTCCCAAGGAGATAGTGTCTCCAATGGGTGAGAGCCTTGTACACCGCATAGAGTTCCTTCTCATAAGTGGACTTAGCCAACTTCTGAGACGGCATTTTCTTAGACATGTACTCAACTGGCCTCAACTTTGGCCCCTCCTGCTGCGCAAGCACGGCGCCCATGCCATATTGGCTAGCATCCGTGGTTACTATAAATGGCTTATCAGGATCGGGTAGCTTCAAGACTTCATAGTGCGTCAATGCATGCTTCAGATGTCTAAAAGCAGCCTCGCACTCATCTGTCCACTCCCACGGGGTGTCAAGGCGGGTCAGATCAGTCAAAGGAGCGGCCACAATGCTATAGTTTTTTACAAAAGTCCGGTAGTAGCCTGTCATTCCTAAGAAAGATCTCATMTCAGTCACAGACTGAGGTCGTGGCCAATCACGAATGCTGGCCACCTTTGCGTCATCGGGCTTCAACCCTTCCGCGGAGATCTCATGACCCAAGTACAAGATACGGGTGCGGCCAAACTCACACTTTTCACCGTTGATCTTCAACTTGTGCTGTCGCAGGAGACTGAGAACTTTGTCTAAGTGTGCTACGTGCTCCTCGACAGTCTTACTAAAAATAAGTATGTCATCGAGGTACACGACGACAAACTTATCCAAGTAGTCATGGAATATTCGATTCATAGCGTGCTGAAAGGTGCCAGGAGCATTGCAAAGGCCAAAAGGCATCACCACAAACTCGTACAGACCGTACCTGGTCTGACATACGTTTTTGTGTTGATCCTTGGGCCGGATTGCAATCTGATGGTACCCGGACTTCAGATCTATTTTACTGAAGTACCGACACCCTTGCACTCTATCTAACAGATCATCGATGCGCGGTAGGGGCTCTCTGTTCTTCACAGTGATGGCATTGAGGCCCCTATAGTCAATGCACATCCTGAGAGTGCCCTCCTTCTTCTTAGGTACGAACAGTACTGGAGATCCGTAAGGAGAGACATTCGGCCGGACCCAACCCTTCTCTACGAGTTCCTTGAGTTGGCGGCGAAGCTCATCAAGCTCGCCTGGAGACATCCGATAGATCCTACCCTTCGGAATACT